TTTTTTTTTTTTTTTGGTACCAGCGATCAAACCCAGATCCTTGTGCTTGCAAGGCAGGCGGTGGAACTACTGAGCTAAATCCCTGGCCCAAAGTGGCACATTCTTTGAGGGCCTCCCTGCTGACTCAGAGTAACTGCAACCAGATGACATACTAATAGGCACTGAGCAGCTAGGGAGTATGAACTAAGCCTAAGTATGTTTTCACTCTGCTGGGAAGATGTGAAACCAGGACAAGCTGAAGGAGACTGACTGAAGCCAATAGGCAGGACTAACATCTCCCCATGCTGCTGGCCCAACATCTGCCTACCAGTGTGGAGCTGCTTGCTGTGGTTCTGAATGCCTTCTCATCTAGACATACATACATTCATTCATTCACTCATAAACGTGTACTGGGTGCTGGCTGTGTGCCAGGCCTTGAAGATACAGTGTGGAACAGACATACTCGTGGAACTTTTGCAATATACTGTGTTGTTGGGTGTGGTGACATATGCCCATAACCTTAGCTACTTGGGAGGCTAAGGGAGGAGGACTGCCAGTTCAAGGCCAGTCTAGGCAACTCAGTGAGATCTTGCCTCAAAAAAACAAAAAAGTCCTGTGATGTAGCTCAGTGGTAGAGCGCTTGTCTGGTGTGGCTTTAATCCCCAGTACCACCAAAAAAGTAAACCTGTATGGTGGGTCTAGGAAAATTTCCCTGAGAAAGTAGTAGAGTAGTAGTTGGGTTAATGGAAGACAAGATTTAACTATGCAAAGAAATAGGAGAATAGCTGAGACAAAAGGAAAAGAAGGTATATAATGTGACAAACCAGCGAGGCTGGTGTGGCTACAAAGCAGAGAGCTTGGTGAGCTGGAGACCAGGATAAGTGGAAAGACAGGTGAGAGATGGGCCAGGCCTGGACCCTAGCGGCGTTTGAGCTTTACCTAGAAACATCAAAAGTTAATGAGAGATGGAGGAGATGTTATCTCATAAAAGATATTTAGAAAACCTTCAGAAAGATCACCTTGATTGCTTGGGCAGAAAACAGAGGATGTGAAGAGCTCAGAGATGGCACCAGGGATTTAAGTCAATGAAGTTGAGGGCATGAAGGGAACATGTGGGGAGGCTGAAGCAGAGCACAAATTCACATGTGATGGAGATGAGACCTGAAGAACCTGTTGCTGAGGCGATGAGGAGTGGTACATATTGAGAAGATTCAGATTTCTATAGTGAGGTTCTAAGTGGGAAAACAAGAAAAATAGCAAATTCAGACAGAAGGCATTTTCTATTTGGATATGTCAAATAGATAGTCAGATGTAAGATTTAAAACTCAGAGGAGAGGTGAGGGCCGAGATGAAAGATGTGAGTTGCTATTGTTTAGATAGCCACAAGCTATACCACTGCGGTGGCAGCACTGAGTTGTAGTGGCAAACAATGTCTCAAATGTGTATGAGGCTACCCAGGAAAGGGAGGGGAGTGAAAAAGGCCTGGGTGAAGGTCTTTCCTTACTTCACCACTTTGGGAAGCCTGGCAGTGAAGATGAGCCTGCAAAGCCTATGGGTGGATTGGCCAGTGGAGAGCAGGGACATCAACAGGACACCTGCATGACCCACTGTCAAAATGGCATTTTACAGATGATAAGCTAAGGGCCAGAGAGGGACTGATCATCCAATGGGACTGTAGTTGCATCAGGCCCCTGGGCTCTTTCCTCACATGACCTACTGCCAATTTCGTTGCAGGTCAACAGAAACTGGCTTATGGACAGGAGGAACTGCAGAGAGGAACTAGTTGCAGAATAAGTGAGGTGGTATCATTTCTTGATATTTAGAAATGAGAAATTAAATTTAAGCCAAAAAAGAGGACATACTTGTCTGGAATGGCTCATTTCTAATTTTGAACTATTCCATTTATACATGTATTTGTTTATTTAATTAATTTGAGACCAGGGTCTTGCTCTATTACACAGGCTGGCTTTGAAACTCTGGGCTCAAGATATCCTCTTGCCTCAGGCTCTAAAGTAGTTGGGACTACAGGCACACACTACCACACCTAGCCAGAAGTATTCCTTCATCAAGTCATAAGCCATGACATGGACCCTCCCAAGAGAACCTGCTGTCATATTCTAGCATCCCTACCATAGGTGCTTCAACACATACACCATGATATGAATTGCCATCGATGTGACAGTGACAAGCACAGACCTTACAGCCCCAGTGAGCCCTTCTGGAGAAGGCAGTTAGAACACCAGAGAGGCTTTAGTTAGAAATCCTGAGTTAAAAATCTCTATTTCTCCCCCTATTACTATTCCCTCTGCTATGAAATGAGGGCAACGGTGCTTAGCTGGCAGAGCTACAATAAGAGTCAAGTAGGACAGTGTACAGAGTGCAGTGCTCAAGGGTATGAACCTGGGACCCAGAGTTCCTAAGGTCCTGCCACTTTTTGGGTAAGTGATTTGGGGCAAGTGACATCATCGCCTTGTACCTCACTTTCCTTCTCTCTAATAAGGAGATAGTAAAAGAATCTACTTTACAAGGTGTTGTGAGAATTAAATCAAGTAGACCACACAAATGCTTAGAATAGGGTCTGGCTTATGCATAGGGGTATCTAGGAAAGGTGGTGATCCCTGCTCTTCTTTAAACTGGCTTCAAGGCCTGCCCCAGTTGGTATGAGATCCCCCAACAGGTGGCAATAGGAATGCTTGTCAGACAAGGGTTCCAGAAACATTTGAGCCACAAGCCTTACACAGAGAAGGCAGTCATTTCAGGGGCCTGGCCAAGAATCAGTTCTCTCCTTTCTTAGGTATAAGAAAGGAGTAAAGTCTTATAAGGTCCTTAAGGTCAGGGAGGCCACACTCTTTTCTCCAGGACGTAACGTAAGACAGGCAGAGGGGAAACACTGATAATTGTGTCCTGAATGGATGATGCCTCTTTTCCTTTAAGCTTGAAGTTCTGCCAAATGGAAAATTATTTAAACTAGAATAAAATGGCCATTATTTGTGGAACTCCTGTGCCAGATACTATATGAGTGCTTCATATATTATTTGAGGCAAGTCTTGTGCAATTTAGCAAATACAGTGATGTTTCTACTGCTTTAGGGCAGAGCTATTCATTAGTACTCTCAATTAAAGACATAGCAAGTGACAAGCTACCAGAGAGAAAGAAATCAAGAGAGTTCAATTCCTACTATCAAAACAAAACAAAACAAATCAAAAAAAAGAAAATCAAGAGAGCACCAGTCTGAATAGAAGCCAAGTGTTCCACCTCTGAAGAAGGACTACATAGATTCATAGATTCAATGCTCAGCTTAGCTATTAACTATTCATACAGCCAATAACTATTAAAGGCAAAATAGTAACCACCTTGCCATAGCCATTACAAGGATGAAATCAGCTAACAGGCACGTAAGCTATATGCAACAGTGTCTAGCATAATAGCAAGGGCTAGACAGGGTAGAATCATTAGGAAAATCATGCTGGGTGCCCCTATGGGATAGGCTGAAGTAGTGTCAGAGAGAACTTACCCAGATTCTCTGCCTTGTAGGTTATTTTGCTGGGCTGACAGAAGGGCAATGAGTAATATTCATAAGGTAGCTGGGTTCGAGAGCTGGTGAGCTTCACAGCCTGGTGGGAGGAGAGGCTATTATTTCTCAATTAAGCAGAAACCAAGACCACTGTTCCAAGAATTCTTCCTGGTACTCAAATGTCTGTAGAATACTTGGTAACACTATCCAACAGACAAAGTAGCTGTAGCAGACATGACTACAGCATATTATGTACTCTGCACAATTCTTGATTCTTTTACTTTTCATTAGTTTCACACTGCATTAAAGATTTAGTTTAAAATTATAACCAAGAAAAAAAAAGATTAAAGGAAGTAATAAAGTATTATTAAAAACAAAAAATGATAACCAAGTACCAGGCATGGCAGTGCACCTGGGAGGCTGAGGCAGGAGGGTCACTGAAAGTTTGAGGCCAGAATGGGATACATAGTGAGTTCAAGGCCAGCCTGAACTGCATAGTGAGAACTTGTCTCAAAACAAACAAAACAAAACAAATAAAATAAGTAAGGCATAGTGGTGCACCCCTATAAACCTACGTCTTTGGAGAACTGATGCAAAATAATTAAGTTTGAGGTCAGCCTGGGAAATGTAGTGAGACCTTGTCTCAAAAGAAAAAAGTAAAATGGGCTAGGGATGCAGCTTAGCAGCAGAGTGCTTGCCTAGCATGTGTGAGGCCGAGTTCAATCCCAGTAGCAAACAAGAAAATAAACAAAAACCTGAAATGTTTCTCCCACTAGGAACTTAAAAAAAAATTTTTTTTTTGAGACAGTGTTTTGCTATGTAGTTCAGGCTGGACTTGAACTCACTATGTAGCCTAGGCTGGCCTTGAACTCATTGCGATCCTCCTGCCTCAGCCTTCCAAGTGCTAGGATTATAGGAATGTACCACCATGCCCAGCTAGGAGCTAAAATTTAAGCTTCACGAGGGTGAGGGTCATCTGTATAATCTCTGTGCCTTCGCATGAGACAGTGTAAGGTGCTCATTAAATATCCGCTAAATTAGTAGAGAAACAAAAACCAATAAAGCTTATATAATGTGAAACTGATTAACAAAACATAATTTATTCAACTAAATATTGCATAGCCATTAAAAAAGAAGTTTAAATAATAAAATAAAAACAAGATTTAAACCCAGGTGTGGTGGTGCATGTCTATAATCTCAGCACTGCAGGGGGCTAAGGCAGGATGACTGAAAATTCAAGCCCAGCATGAGCAACTTAGTGACTTACCAAGACCCTGACTCAAAACAAAAAAAGGGCTGGGGAAGTAGTTCAGTGTGAAGGTCCTGGGTTTAATCCTCAGTACTACAAAAAACCAAACCTAACAAATCCTCCAAAAAACAAGGTTTAAAAAAATGATGAAGGAGTATGTTTAGGAAATGATCCAAGCATAAATAATATAGCTTTGGAAAGGGTAGCAATCTCAGAAAATCCCCAAACTATAGATAAAACAGAACCAATGGGCTGGGCGTGGTGGTGCCCACCTGTAATCCCAGCACTCGGGAGGCTGAGGCAGGTGGATTGCTGTGAGTTCTCGACCAGCCTGGGTTACATAGTGAGTTCCAGGTCAGTCTCAACTACATGGTAAGACCCTGTCTCAAAAAATGAAAAACAACAACAACAACAACAACAACAACAACAAAACAAAACACAGAACCAATGAAAATGTTGCCAGACAAATTTTAATCTAGTTAAATATTTTTTCTATTTATGAACTACCTACTACTCCTCATACACCATCTAAAAGTGTAAATAATTTTTAGAATTCTAGGTCTGCAATCCTTATTTAAAACTCTTGTTTAGAATTAGGATTTAGATTTTAGAAAGGCAACGTGGTACACCTATCACAGGTTTTGAAACACCCCAATAGGGTCTGGAGTAGTACTTTACATTGCACAATTCTGCAGAGAAATGCAAAAATATTCATGCTAAATGGGATAAATGAAACAAACAAACAGCTTTATGATAGTAGAGGTCAGCTCTTGCCTCCAGTGGGCTTATAAAAACCTTGACTTTCAGAGCTTTTTGTAAGATTGAGGGAACCAAGGACCGCTATTAAGTATATCATGAATTATTTGAGGAAAAGCCACCAAAAAGTTACTGTAATATCTATTTTGTGTTTCTTAGCCTTCTCTCCCTGGATAATCAGGAAAACATATGCATTACAAAGAGAAGAATCCCATTTTTATGCTCTCTTCCCACCTAAGGTGTACATCCCCACATCCTCAGCTTTGAGGAGTAGAGGCCAGATGCCCTGGTACTGCTATATCACAATCTTTGCTCAAGTAGCTTTTGGCAAAGGCCAAAAGTGGAAGAAAGGGTAAAGAGAGGGGGTTTGGAATGAATCCTGTGTCTTCCTCACCATGTGACTTTAGGTCCTTGGGCCTTAGTTTCTTTATCTGTAAAACATACAAAGATCTCTAGAACGTACAGTTTGCCTCACAGGATTCTTGAGGAGCAGCTTGAGGTAGGCCAGGTCTAATGTCTAGCATATAAACAACCCTCAGTAAACTTTCCTTTAATTAACATTTCTGCAAGTTATAGATCTGACCACTAAGGAGGAGAGATGCTTACAATATATGAACCATATGAGCAGATGCTCTAAGTTAAACAGAGAAAGCTGGTAACAGGAGGAAGGAGCAGATGAAGAGGGAGGCAGAAAAACAACAGAGGAGGCAAGCTGAGTCAGACAGACTTGTAGGAAGAGATAGAGATGGACGTATACCTGAAAGACAGAAAGAGCTAGACAGACAGACACACCAAGAGCCGGCAGCACAGAAACAGAAATGAAGAGGTAAGGCAGAGTTCTTGCACTGCAGGCTCCTGAGGGCACTCTACTTCTAGCCACAGAGCATTCAGTGAGCCCTCTTGTTCCTAGAGTAACTGGAACTGACCTGTGTCCTCTGCAACCACAGGACAGACACAAACAGCTCAGCACAGAGGCTCCTATGATCCAGGACTACACTTACCTTGATTTCTACAGGGTCGTTCTGGTGGAAGTTGATTGGCGCAACCCCTGGGACATAAAAGGCGCATGTTTGACACATGAGAGAAAGCAGTAGCAAAGACCACGGCAGCCAAACCTGCTTGAAACAAGAGAGGCCACAGTTGGCATGTGGAAAAGAAGTGAACTGCTCTTCAGAGCTAATTAAATCATGCTATCCCAGTGTCTACTGACCCAGTATCACCACCTCACATTCTGGGAAGGTGGAGGTCCTTATAAACATTGCCTCCCCAACTCCCGCAACAGCTGGATATGCTGGCACAAGTTCCAGCTCCTTGGGAAGCTGAGGCAGGAGACTGTTTCAGTCTGGGACATTGAAGCTGGCTTGGGCAATACAGTGAGATTTTTCTCTTAAAAGCAAATGGAAGACCTGACAAACTTTAGACTTGGATATTTGGCAGTTACTTCTCAAAAATAATGATGTGAACAGTCACTTCAAGGAAAACAAATTCATGCCCCCAAGAGCATATGCATTTCCAGAAATGGTCACACATTGGGTCAATTAACATTGAGGCAAAATGGAAGACTGTCACATGGAAGCCACACATCCCACTTCTGGATCACTGTTCTTTTAACCAAGCTCACAGTATATCACTCTTCACTACAGCTTGCAGAAAGCAAATCTCCACAATATTCCATTCATTCCCATTCTCTTTATCACAACAGGCTCACTTCATCAGAAAGCTCCAGTGTTGCCAGCACATTTTTCTATGGGTGTTCTCCAAAACAGAACTGGCTTCGCCATCTCCTTCTGTCCTGTTCACTCTGTTTCAGCCACACAGGCCTGGACAGCAAGCCCTTCTGTGCCCTCCAGGCCTTCATCTTTACTGTTACTTCTGCAGAATGCCACAGATATATACATGGCTCACTTACTCCTTACTTCATCCAGGTGTCTTTCACATGTCACTTCCTCAGAGAAGTCTTCACTGTCCATCCTATCCTATCTGAAATAGAATCCTCAGGGGGTCCCATCTACCTTCTTTCCGAGTCCCTTACTCTGCACTTTATATCTATTGGTAGTCTTATCTTCCTGACATGTATGATGTGGACAGATATGTTTCAGTGTGTATTATATGTTCTCTTCTCTTGAATGGAATCCCTGAGAGAGCGGGGACTGTGTCCCCAGAGCCGTGAAAAATGTGTGGCCCAGAGGAGGTACTCTCAATAGCTGCATGCCGGAGAGGCACCTGGTAATACAAAGGCAAGCAAGACTGACTTGTGAGCTCAAGAACTCCACCCCCCAAAGCATCTCCTTCCCGTCATTAATAAGGCACTTTACTCATTCAGAGGACTAGAAGAGTTGCTAGATTGTCTTCCTTCTGCCTGGTCTGAACAAGGAGCTTGTGTCATGAATCACCAACTTAATTGCATTTCTCTATCTCTCCCTTGTCTCTACCCTCTAGTGTTGCTTTATTTCAGATGCTTACTTTCTCCCTTCACTGGCCCCAGCCTCCTGATCCACCACCTTACTGTTACAGCCCCTGCACCTATCAAGTTACCATTCTACCCCAAACACATATTCAGATGGTTCTGAAACACAGTTTTACAGGCAATCAGTCACTGAGGGGGCCTGCCAAAAATGCAAACTCACCTGCATCTGAACCTGGACTACAAATTTTGAAAAAAAAAAAAAAAAAAAAAAAAAAAGCTGTGTGTTGGGGATGGATGGGTGCTAGGGACTGACCTAAGGGCAGTGTGCAAGCTATGTAAGCCCTCTACTACTGAGCTATATCCCTATCCCTAATTCTGAGACACATTTCATTAAATTGCCCAGGCTGGGCTCAAACTTGAAATCTCCCTGCCTCAGCCTCCTGAATAGTTGGTATTACAGCTGTGTGCTGCCATGCCTGGCTAAAAAGTTTAAGGTTCTAGTAAGGTGCACACATCTATAATCAATCCCAGCACTGTGGAAAGCTGAGGCAGGAGGACTGCAATTTTGAGCCCATCCTGGGCAGTTTAGCAAAACCTTGTATCAAAGATACAAAAAGGGCTGGGGATGTAGCTCAGTACAAAGGTCCCAGGTTCAATAAAAATGTAAGGTTTAACTGGGATCAGTGGTACATACATACACTACTAGAGGCTGAGGCAGAAGGATCAACTGAGTCCAGGAGTTCAAAGCCAACGTGGGCAATATATCAAGACTCCCATCTTAGGGCCGGGGATTTAGCTCAGGTTCCTCTGCCTGCCTTGCAGTGCAAGGACCTGAGTTTGATCCCTGGTACCAAAAAAGACCCCCATCTTAGAAAAATAAAATAAGATAAAATTTAAAGTTCTGAGTTCTGTGTACCTTTTATAAATTAAGAGTAATAAAAATAAAGAGCAATACAGTTTCTGACTTGTGAACATTTATAAGTATCTATCAGCTCATGTTAATTAAAAATAAAACAGCTATAATGGCTAAGATAGATGTACTGTATTTGATAATCAGGAGGAAAGGAGAAGTAGGAGAGCTGGAAAATCTTTAAAAGAAATGACAAGACTAAGCCACCTGTGGTGGCACAGACCTGTAATTTCAGCACTCTGGGAGGCTAAGGCAGGAGGATCTCAAATTTGAGCCCAGCCTGAGCAACTGCGCAAGTCCCTGTCTCAGAATTAAAAGTGGGGAGTGGGTGAGACTGCTAAGCAGCTCAGCTGTAAGGCCCTGGATTCCATCCTTAGTACCACACACAAATAACAGAATGCAGAAAATTGCATTATCTGATTCCACATAAGAAGATGGAATTTTTTCTCCTCTGTCCTTTAAAAAAATCATTTATTTTAAAAATAAATTTAGATTTGCAGATAATGCTATGGAAGGAAATGGCAAGTGACACACAGAGAGGCAGCAGAATGGAAGTAAAATAACAAAGTTTACTCCAATTAGGCCTCATCCATCCCCATCGATGGAGTAAACTTTGTTATTTTACTTCCATTCTGCTGCCTCTCTGTGTGTCACTTGCCAACTCCTTCCGTAACAATGACACTACAGAGAGTTCCCATATACTCTTCATTTGATTTTTCCTAAAATTAACATCTTTCATACCATGGGGAAGTAAGATTTCCAAAAACAATAAGGCTACAGTTTTTTTTAAAAAGTAAAACCTGTACAGTGAAAAATTTAAACAGTACAAATAGGTATATGTGCACAGAAATAACTCTTCCTAACACCAATTCTCATGGGACAACTGCTACCACCAGTTCCTTGAAATCCCTCCAAAGAAATCCTCTGAATGAACGAAGGAAAGGGTTTCAGTGTCTACACTTGCCTTGAATCAACAAACAGATCTGGATTCTTTTAGAACAGTAGCGGAGTCTATTGGCTGTGAGTTGCTAATAATGTCTGATTTCTTCTCCATCAGAGGATTTCCTCCACTTGACCAGCCATGTGAAGATTCAGCCCTCCCTCTTAGAATCCCTAGAAAACATACATTTTTCAGCTATTAAAATGTGCCTCACATTAAGAAATAAGCACTGCCCTCTTTTTTCCTGATTTTTCTCTATATGTGAATTCCAGTTAACCAAAATTTAAGACAAATTCTCCATTACAAGTATACACTGCCATCCATAAGTTGTTTAGGAAAGAAAACCCTGAAATTTTTTGTACCAGGAATTGAACTCAGGACCTTGCACTTGCAAGACAGGCGTGGTGCCACTGAGCTAAAACCCTGGCCCCCTGAATTTTTAAATATGCAGAAAATAGACAATTCTTATACAAAGATACTATCAACGAACTACAATCCTTTTTATCTTAGAGGAGGATCAATAGAGAAAAATGGCAAATAAAATCCCAATAATATGCTAGAATTTTTGAATATTTAAGTTGGCAACCATAAGCAATTCAAGTTCAGCTTAGAAATCATGACTACATCCAGATGCTGCCAGTTTTAGATATTAAAATGCTACTGTTGCAATATTCTCATACGGCTGGAAGGGTCAGAAACTGGGACACTTCTGGGGGGCAACCTGGTAGGCCCTCTAAAAGCGCATACTCTTAGATCCTGTACTTCTACTCCTAGACAGTTAAGAAATGACAAGTATGCCAGAATGTACATAAAAGGGTGCTCACCAGACAATTATGTAAACCGACTGAATGGTTTTCCTATTTTGTGTACCGCATCTGATTTTCCTTTTTTGTACAGAATTATACAGAATTTATACCACTTAAGAAAAATAATGAAAAAGAAAACACTATTTTTCACACTTGGGTTTGGGTAATCTGGCTTGATATGGAAGGATGTGCACTTGCTGGCCTTAAGACGACTTGCCCAAAGTACCTCATCTTTTCTATCTAAGCCTTCAGGGAAACCTGGAGGTTGTTCCTGTTCTTTGGGAGTTATATGCTCTGTTCCTGACGCTCAACCTTGCCTGATTCAAGTCCTACCTACCCCTGGATGTCAAGGTTAAATGTTTCTTCCTTTAAGAACCCCTCAGATTCCCACAGGGTGAATTATTCTATTCCGTTTTTCCTTTTCAGGGCACTGTATAAATATCTCTAGGCAAGAAAATGGAAATACCACCTAATAGCCAAATGTATTTTTATACTTGTTTAAATGTTCGAAGACTGCTGCTTAAATTGTTTGATAAATATTTAAATCTCCACTACAGTACTTTTTTCATGTTGAGTTATAGCCATTTGCATAGATCGCTTGTCTAGCTAGTTGATGGGGGTGCTCAATACTTACTAAAATAAGCACTAACCAACCTCTGATCTAAAAAAAGGAAATCATTCACTCACATACAAGTTTAATACCATGGTTCTTAATCTTTCCTGTATCCCTTTGAGAATTAAAAAAAAAAAATCCTTACACTGAAGTAGGACACCTTCCACCTTTTCATTTGTCAAAGGACCTAGCTTAAGAATCCCTAAGAACACCTTCACTCCTGTACCTTGGCTGTATATCCAGGAGAGTGGTTCTCTGCCCTGATGCCTTAAGAGTAACCTGGAGAGCTTTAAAAATTACCAATGGCAAGTACCTTGTATTATTCACCATTCTGACCAATTAAAAGCCAGAATGTCCGAGAGAGAGGGCTCTGGATTCAATATTTTTAAAAGGTCACTAGGTCCCTATTACTCAAAATGAGCTTTGTGGAGAATGGCAATCACCATTTTTTGGAAGCCTGTTAAGAGAGCCTCAGGCCATGCCCTGGAACTAGTGAATTACAAAGTGAACTTACATTTCAGAAAGCTGCTTAAGATAAAGTTTAAGGACTACCAGTTCAGGTGATCCTAAAGCAGTTAGTCAAGAACCACTGCTCAGGTTAAAGTCTATCCTAAATGTGGGGCTCAGCCGTTGGCCTGCCTTGCAGGGGGAGGAACCGCATTCAATCCCCAGCACCATAAACAAACAAACAAATAAATAAAATAAAGTCTATCTTAATGATACATAATCCTTGGGATAGAGGTGAGTGCTGGGTCTCTATTTCTCTTTGGTCTGGTTTTAAATTACATCCAGAGACAATAGGAGGGCAGCTGTCACATACTGGGGAAAACTCTAAGCTTGGGGACCCAAAATATAAACAGGGAGCTGAAACCTACCCCTCAGTTATGCAGCTTAGAGCCATCAACTTTGCTGGGCCTCATGTCCCCATTATTAGAATGGATTCACACAGAAGTCAGGCTGAAAAGAGAACATGAATTTGGAAACTTTTAACTACCAATAAAACCACTATCCTTTTGTTTTTCTGTTTTTTTGTTGTTGTTGTTTGTTTGTTTGTTTTTTTGAGACAGGGTCTCACTAAGTAGTTGAGACCGACCTGAACTCACTATATAGCCCAGGCTGGTCTTGAACTCACAGTGATCCTCCTGCCTCAGCCTCCCAAGTGCTGGGATTACAGGCATACGCAACCACACCCAGCTCTAAATCACTATCCTTAATGTAAAGCATTAATGACCATTATGTCTTGCTAACCTAAATCACAGGTACTAAACTCCCCGCCCCCCAACAAGCCTGACACAACCTTTTAGCTTTATCTGATAAATGATTTGAAGCCAGAGTAGATTACAATCTCTTCTGGTTATCAAGCCAATTAAATCTAAGAAATTACTTCAGTTCTATCTTCTCTTGAAACAGAATCTTCCAGACTGAGAGACACTGCCCTGGGGAACTCAAGTGCTCCCTGAGAGCTCAGGTTGCAGAGGAATGCAAAACAAATCCTGAAAGACTCCACTACATTTTGTTTCAAAGCCTCAAACCAATGGAGCAAGTCTACACACAGAGAACAAACAAAAAATCAGCAAGGAGGTTAATACTCTAGCAGGAAGGCAACACCAAAGAACAAGAGGCCTCCAAGTCATCATGCACTTAGTTCAAGGCACTGTGACAGACATGGCAACTTCATTCTATTTATCTAGTCCTGCTTTGTACTAAGCACTTCACATACACTGATGAGTACCTACTGATTTTTGTCACCCCTTTGCAGATGATTTACTGTCAACTCAAGATTCAGAGATTAAATAACTCACCTAAGGTCATCCAGAATGTGGAGAAACAAGTATGCTTTTCCAAAACAGGTGAGTTGTAATATAAGGTGACAAGAATGTAATGATACTGATAACAATGGCAGCTATATACTGGATGCTGATTATGTGCCAGGCATAGTTCTAGGTTCTATTCAGGTAGTAATGCAATTTTCATGACAATCCTATGAGGTAGGGACTCTTACTATTCCCATTTTACAGATGAGGAAATGACTTAAGTGAGCCAGGATTTGTACCCAGGCAGCCTGAGCCCAAAGCTCATGTTCTAACCAGTACAGAAATTAATCACCGACTGTTTACTGACCATCCACTATGCATCAGGCACTGTATGTCAACCTTGCAGGATACATGCCCACAAGGAGCTTTCAGATAGCTGGAAGACAGAGCTAAGTCACCAGTCAATCACACCTGGTCTCAGATGCTGTCAATGTGTTAAAGAGTATGCTGAGGAGCAAGCAGCAGCAACAACATACCCAGTGTGAGTGTGGTGTTAGGGGAAGGTGAGTGTATGTAAGGATTCAGTCTACTCTAAGGCCTGGAGGGAAAGGAGAGAGAAAGGGAGAAGAGCTCTAGGAAAAGCACTGGTGCTTCACAGAACTTTACTGTACAGGTAAGTCACCTGGCAACTCTGATAAAATGCAGAATCTGATTCAGTGGGTCTGGGGAAAGGCTAGAGATTGTGCATTTCTAATAAGTCTGGGAACGACAACATTTATTTTTGTTTGTTTGCTTGTTTTTGGAGACAGGGTCTCCCTATGTGGTTCAGGCTGGTCAAACTCACTGTGTAGCCCAGGCTGAGCTCAAACTCACAGCAATCCTTCTGCCTCAGCCTCCTGAGAGCTAGGATTACAGGTGTATGTCACCACACCTGGCAATGACAAATATCTTGATACATGGATATACTTTTAAATAATCTTGAGGGAAAAATTTCTAAGAATAAAAATGTAGAAGCTATAAAGAAAAATGATTTAAAGAGAAGAAAATTAAAAAGTATATACAGCACAGAAAAATAATTTGGGCAAAAATATTTTCCATACACATAACAAAGGACTGATTTCCTTAACATACAAAGAACTCTTACAAACCAATAAAGGACAAAAACCTCAAAAGAATACTAAGAGTTTAACAACAAAAATGTTTAAATTACTAAACACAAAAAAATGGTCAACTTTATTTTAAAAATACCTGTCAAAATAACAATCTCCTATTTTTTACCTATTAGAGTCACAAACTTTTAAATGTCTAAGAATACATGAGCTATTGGAAAATTGGCATAGTCTTTGGGGACAGCAACTAAGCAATATACACTTAGAATTATTATTGAAGGTCTTCCAATCTCAGGAAGAAAAAAAAAAAAGATGTGTAGCACCTTATGTATAACTTGGTTTCATTTATCTTTTTTTCCTATCTAATTGTTTACAAAGCATGTACCAAAGGCAGAAATCTAAGGAAAGGAACTAAGACAAATGTCTACCATGAATACCAATAAAAATATTTTTTAACAAGAAATGAGCAAATTGGGCCAGTAAAAGTCTGTCTATACATCATGATCAAGTGGGATATATCCCAGGTATGAAAAGTTGACTTAATATCTGATCAATTAATATACCATAAAATGGTACAAAGGACAAAAACTGCACATTATTGCAACAGATGCAGAAAACCACTTCACAATATCCAACACATAGTCATTATTAAAAATTCAACCAGGGCTAACAAGAAACTTCCTCAATCATATAAAGGGCAGCAAGGAAAACTCACTGTCAACCTCACACTTAATGGTTAAAGACTGAATGCTAAGCTCCCCTAAAATCAGGACCAAGGTACGAATGTTCACTCTTATCTCTATTCAAATCTGTCTATAACTAGTGTACTAAAGCAAACAAATTAATTAAAAATTAAAGGCATCCAGATTGAAAAGAAGTGAAAGAGCTTTT